CAGACTGTGGACCAGAGGAAGGACGACGGACGACAAGGCGTGCGGTGGGGACAGGCGGCGTACGCGGACGCGGAACACGACGAGTGGAACTACTAGGACGAACAGGCGAGACAGGACGCGACGCAGGCTCACGACGCTCAGTAAGACCCCCTGACTGCTCAGTGTAAGGAGAGGGAGCAGGCAGCGGCGAGCCAGGCAGTAACGGAAGACCAGTAGAAGACGGAAGACTAAGAACCTGGCGAAGCACAGAGTCAGGGGGCGGCTGAGACGACGGAGACGGCGGAGCGAAGAACAGGCGCGGCTGTGCAGGACCAGCAGCACCAGTAGCTCCAGCACCTCCAGAAACTCCAGCACCCCCAGCGCCAGCTCCTCCAGGACCAGCTCCACCAGTAGCAGCACCCCCAGAACCGGCACCCCCAGTCCCAGGGTCTCCAGTCGCAGTGTCCCCAGCAGCGGCACCCCCAGAAACGGTATGCCCAGCCCCAGCAGCTCCGGGCTCGCCAGCAGTAGAGCCCCGGGCTCCAGTAGTGCGACCCTGACGGCGACCGTACCAGTCGTGCAGCTGCTGGGAGGTGAGAGGCACACGCGGACGAAGGCGGCCACTCCAAGGGGACCGCACACCAGCAGGCTCAGCACCCTCAGACCCAGTACCTCCAGGCTCAGCACCCCCAGACTCAGCACCCCCAGAACCCTCACACGTAGGCTCCGCACCTCCAGGCTCCGCACCTCCAGGCTCCGCACGTCCAGGCTCCGCACCTCCAGGCCCCGCACCGCCAGAATCCTCACACGCAGGCACAGTACCCCCAGGCTCCGCACCTCCAGGCTCCTCACGCACTGGCTCAGCACTCCCAGACGCAGCACCTCCAGGCTCCTCACGCGTAAGCTCCGCACCCCCAGGCTCAGTACCCCCAAGCTCCCCACCCCCAGGCCCAGTACCCCCAACGACACCTCCAGCAGGACCGGAGTCACCAGTGACCTCAACAGGTGCAGGCACGGGAGGGTCTACCTGAGAAACACCTGAGGGAGCAGGACCTGGTGCGGGGAGGGGGTATACCTGGGGAGAACCTGGAGCGAGGAAGAGCGGCGGGGGGGTGCGAGGAGAAGTACGGTAGGGAAAGAGACGGTAGAAGGGAACGGACTCGTCAAAGGTGACGTCCTGAGACGCAAAGACACGACGCGAGGTGGGCTCGTAGAACTGCCAGCCAGGCGCGTCAGGAACAAAGCCAAGGAAAACACAGGGAATGGCACGAGCGGAGAGCTTGTCCGCAGTAGTATCGCGGACAAACGCACGAGCACCCCAGACCCGGAAACGCGACGCATCACCAACCTTCCCCGTCCACAGCAGTGTGGGCGAGGTCTCCGGCAAGGAGACACGGGGCCAGAGGTTGAGCTGATGCGCTGCGTACCGGACAGCAAACGGCCACAGAAAATGGGGAGCCGCCGCATGGATCATGGAGGTACGAGCGACCTCCATGACTAAGCCAATGCGGCGCTCAGCAACCCCATTCTGCTGTGGAGAGGCCGGAAGCGTGAACGACTGGGTGATGCCGTGCTCCGCACAGAAGGCTCGCAGGAGGTCGGAGGAGAACTCACCACCTCTATCAGAGTGCAGACGCAAGACAGGAAAGTCCGACTGGAACCGCTCGCGGAGCTGGAGACGAGCAGCGCGGATCCAGGGGATCAAAACAGCAGGGACGTCCCCCTTGCTGCGCAAGGGGAAGACCGTGGTGTAGCGCGTGTAGTCGTCAACTACCAGCAGGAAGTACCGCTCACGGCCCTGTCCCTGGACGCGGGCCGGGCCCCACACGTCCAGGTGGAGAGTCTGCAGTGGAGCCTCTGTGGGAGGAAACGAGGAGGAGTGAGGAGCGGCGCGCTGCCGCCCCTCGACGCAGGGAATGCAGGGCGGCGCAGGCGAGGGAGGGAGGGCAGGGAGAGACCTGGGAAGGCCAGAGACCAGGCAACGAGAGTGCATGCTACGAAGGCGAGGCAGGGAGGGGTGACCAAGGCGGTGGTGCCACAGGAGAGTGTCGTGGGACAGGCGGCGGCACTCACACTGGGTAGCAACCTGAGCAGACGCGTACAGCTGTGGAGACAAAGGAGTGGAGCGTGAAACAGTGGTGAGGGTGTACAGACTAGACCCTGGCTCACGTGTGAACGTGGCCAGGTGGCGGCCGGTCTTGGAGCATGTACAGATCGCCACACGCTGTCCTCCAGGAGTCCAGGTGTCAACCCAGTGATCCTGAAGGACGGCGTTGCTCACCAGGTTCGTAGAGAACGAGGGAACATGGAGACCAGACAGCTCACCAGACGGGACCGCTGGGCACGGAAGCACAGTCGCGGCCCGTGCAAGCACTGGACCCCCAGAGGGGTCAGCCAGTGAGACAGGAACAGGTGCAGGGAGAGGGGTGACAGTGGTGCTGTCACGAAAGAAACAGCGCGAAGCACCAGAGTCAAGTGTGAATGTGTGCAAAGCCTGAGCGGACGTAGTACCAGGGAGCACAGACTCACTAGCACCTAGGGCTGCAGTCTCTATACCTGGGTCAGGCGGCACACACAAGTAACAGTCACCCTCAGCACTAACAGTCAATGCATACATAGCAGCAAGAATAGCATCATAGTCTAGATCAAAGATAGGAACACCACGCCTAAGCAGATCTGCCCAGTTGGGGAACTCAGTAGCATCAGGATACTTTGCGCGCCAGGCGTCACTAAGCCTAGCGAAGCAGCGGAACTCGGTGTGAAAACCGTCGCAGGTGCGACCCTGGCGGGGACCTGTGCGAATGACATAGGGGCAGCGGTCAGAGCCCCTAGACGCCCCACGCCCAGCATACCAGTCATGGAGCTGCTGGGAGGTGGGAGGCGGACGCTGCTGCTGCTGCTGCTGCTGCTGCTGCTGCTGCTGCTGCTGCTGCGGCTGCTGCTGCTGCTGGCCGCCACCAGCGCCACCCTTTTGGCCATATCCACCCCCACCCCCACCTCCACCACCAGTGCCGCTGCCTCCTCCCCCACCACCTCCGCTGCCGCCTCCACCGCCCCCGGTCCTGCCGCCACCCCACCCACCGCCTCCACCCCCACGGCCACCCCCACCACCTCCGCCACCCCCGCCACCTCCACCACCGCCCCCACCGCCGCCACCTCCGCCACCCCTGCCCCCTTTGCCCCCCTTGCCTCCGCCGCGCTTCCCACCAAGAGTAGAAGCGGCGTGGACCTTCTCAGCGCCGAGAAGGTCAACAGCAGCAGCAGCAGAGGCATAGGAGGGGGTAAGAGGGGAGGGGGAGCATCCCTCAAAGAGGGGAGTGCGGGGAGTGCCACGAGCAGCATTCACAGCAAGTATGTTCGTCTCAGCTGCAACTAGCTGCTGCTCGAAGTCATCTAGGGTGATGGTGGGAGGATCTTTAGCGAGGAAATAGTCCCTAACGGAACGGAGCGTGTCGGGAAGGCGGGTGACTAGGATGTAGAGGGTAAAGTACAGGGGGGGTTTGTTCTCGGCGAGGAACTCGTCAGAGAGAGCGGCACGAAAGCGAGCGTCACTAGTGCGGAGGTGAGAGATGAGGTCTGCAGCAGTGGAAAACGAGGCGAGGTCGGGGAAAAGGTAGGGTAGGATGAGGCTACCAACGGCGGCAGTGGCTGGGGCGGAATAGCGGGCAACTACAGCGTCAAACAGTTCCTTAGCAGTCTTAAGCTGGTTGAAGTGTGCGCGCTCGGAGATAGGCAGGTGGTTGCGAATAGCTAGGCGGGCAAGGGCATCACGGGTCTGCCATTCAGCGCGGTCTGAGGCGGGAGCAGTAGCAGCGGGAGCAGGGGCAGTGCCATTGACATAGTCTAGCAGGGAGGCTCCGTCCTTGGTATTGGTCAAAAGGTAAAGCTGCAGGTCACTGAGCCAGGTGTCAAACTGAACAGGACTACCGTCAGGCTCAAACTCGAGAACAGAAATGGTTGCCATGGTCACAGGGCGGGTAAATGCAGCAGGCACAGGCTCAGGCTCAGGCTCAGGTGCAGGCAGCAGGCAAGCTCAGGCAGCAGGCTCAAGCAGCAGGCAAAGTCTTGAGGGTAAGGCAGTTCTTAAGGCAAGCAGGCGCTCAAGGCAGGGCACAGGCAGGGCAGGGCACGCGCGGCTGCGAGCTGCGCGCGGGATAGAACAGCGCGGCGCGGGCTGCTCGGGCAGTGCGCGAGCCACGCGCGGGCTCTGCAGGCTGCGCGTGGGCTGCGCGAGCCCGGCGCGGGCTGCGCGGGCTCGGCGCGGGCTGCGCGGGCGGTGCGCGGGGCAGCTGCAGGCCGCGTGCGGGCTGCGCAGGCTCAGAGCAGGCTGCGCGGGCGTCTAGGAGAGCGGGACGCGGGTGGCAGCAGTAGCGCGCGCTAAAAAAAAAAAGGGCTATGCGCGGGCTCAGCCGAGGCGCGCGCGGGTAGCAGGCAAGGATAAGAAGGAGTAGGTGGGGTAACACTGTAACCGGTGGGCCCAAATCTTAGGTCCTAAGACCTAAAGCTCTAGATACCATCTTAGAATCTTAGACTAGGAAGAAGTGATTGGATTGGGTCAAGGGGGGGTACAAGAGAGAATGTCGAGAGAATTTCTGTACCCCCTAGTGCTACCCCACTACAGCCTAGATAAAACTAACATGCATATATAGTTTGACACGAAGTGTACACTGAATGCACATTCCGAATCCCTGCTGCAAAACACCCGAGATTACTAGTTGTGAACCATTTCTTCAACATTTCCCCGTACAGTTAACCCAACATCCAAAACTTCACAGCCTGAACTGGCTCAGGGCTATAGATCGAGTCTCGCGGCTGGAATGTGACGTGTGGTTTGCATTTATATGCAGGATATCGTGAGGGTGAAAATCAGGCTTTTTTTAAGGACACCCTGAAAATTCAGACTTTTTTTCAAATGGAACACTGATTTTCAGCCTTTTTCCCTAAGGGACCCTGATCAGGCCCCTAGATTCGTTTTGGGCTAGTCTTGTTGGAAACAGTAAACCTTAAAGCCCGGGGTCAGCATGGTAAATTATCAAGTTATGTGGATTTGAAATAGGCTGTTTGCGAGATCCGCGAAACCTATTTCGGTTGGTTGCCTTAGGCGAGAACACTTTCCTCCGCAAACAAGTGAACATTTCGCACTCACCAAACCTGCGAATCCCACCAAACCAAAGCGACAAATGTGTCGCACACATCCTGTCTTGCAACGAGCATGGAAAGAGTGGCTCCACTAGAAGTCTCCAACGCCACAACAGAAGCGTATTCGAGACGATCCTTACCCTAGATTACTAGCTTACCGACCATCGCAGGAGCCGGCAAAAGCGAAGTGTAGGAACGTGCAAGCGCGATCGCACTTACGGGAAAAAAAAGTGAGGACACACTACGGGTAGCTAGTCACAACGAGAAACCAGGAGTGTAATTCAGTCGTTGTGACTATACAGGGGGAAGAAAACGGACGTGATTCGGCTCTCGCACCGAGCGCCGAGCAGCACCCGCTCGTCGCATTTAGCAGCTCGTGTTCTGTGCGACGCGGAGTCCGCATCCTCTCGTGCCTCGCCTCCCCTCGCCGCGCCTCCTGTCCCATCATCACGCCAGCCTCGTTTCTAGAAGCCTTCCCTCGTCGTGCCTCTGCTCGCCTCGCCGCGCCTCCGCTCGCCTCGTCGAGCCTCCGCTCGCCTCGCCGCGCCTCCGCTCGCCTCGCCGCGCCTCCGCTCGCCTCGCCGCGCCTCCGCTCGCCTCGCCGTGCCGCCGCTCGCCTCGCCGCGCCTCCGCCCGCCTCTCCGCGCCTCCGCCCGCCTCGCCGCGCCTCCGCTCGCCTCCCCGTGCCTCCGCTCACCTCGCCGCGCCTCCCCCTGCCATCAGCGCGCCAGCACCCTCCTCGCGCTGCCCCTCCTCGCGCCTCCACTCCCGCTTCCCTTCTCCCACCTGCCCATCCCTTGCCCTCGCTTCCCTGCCCTTCCACTCACCCCCCCCTGATTTCCCTAATTTTTAGCCCTTGCTTTTCCTCATTTCCCCTTTGCTTCCCCTCATTTCCCTCCCTGCTTCCCCTCATTTCCCTCCCTGCTTCCCCTCATTTCCCTCCCTGCTTCCCCTCATTTCCCTCCCTGCTTCCCCTCATTTCCCTCCCTGCTTCCCTCATTTCCCTCCCCTGCTTCTCCTCATTTCCCTCCCTGCTTCCCCTCATTTCCCTCCCCTGCTTCTCCTCATTTCCCTCCCCTGCTTCTCCTCATTTCCCTCCCCTGCTTCTCCTGATTTCCCTCCCTGATTCTCCTCATTTCCCTCCCTGCTTCCCCTCATTTCCCTCCCCTACTTCCCCTCATTTCCCTCCCCTGCTTCTCCTCATTTCCCTCCCTGCTTCTCCTCATTTCCCTCCCTGCTTCCCCTCATTTCCCTCCCCTGCTTCTCCTCATTTCCCTCCCCTGCTTCTCCTCATTTCCCTCCCCTGCTTCTCCTCATTTCCCTCCCTGCTTCTCCTCATTTCCCTCCCCTGCTTCTCCTCATTTCCCTCCCCTGCTTCCCCTCATTTCCCTCCCCTGCTTCCCCTCATTTCCCTCCCTGCTTCTCCTCATTTCCCTCCCTGCTTCCCCTCATTTCCCCCCCTTGCTTCTCCTCATTTCCCTCCCTGCTTCTCCTCAACACGGCTGCGGCTGGACTTCATGTCTCTTTCGCGGAGAACATAAAAAAAATGGGGCTATCGGCTCGCTTTTGCCTCAAAAGTGCTAGTTTCTGCCTTGGGAGCCTACTAGTTTATGAGTACAACTTGGCTTTCAAGTTCTGTGAGTGGTGAACAGTGCATATTCCGTGCGATGATCGCCTCGATTTTGCCTTACAGAACACAGACCAATAGGAACCCGTCGTCGCAAGACGATGGCCCGGGGTCGCGACAGTTGTTTGAAAGCAAGTAGGGTAACTCGGTTATTGGCGACTTCAAGTTCAAGAATCTTAAACTTGAAAACGCCATGCTGTAAACGCCTCTGTCGTGTCGAAACATCGCACCAGAAGCGAAGCGAACCATATCGAGGCACACGCGAGTCAACCCTCGGAGGTTGAAAGAGGTTGCTGGAGGTTACGCGAAAGTCAAAGGTCAGCGACCTTTGACCTGACAAGTACAGCGCGACAGCAAGGACACACAACTGACTCGCTACAGAGCAGTTGCCCGAGTCGTCACTGTATCGAACCGCAACAGCAACAGTAAAGTAGTTACAACTGTATCCTTTCATATTCCATATACTCATATATAAATGCTTGTATCTCTTTGCTTTAATTAACTTACTTTGCCCTCACATACTAGCGCAAGGTGGTTCACAACTTCTTCATTAAACGCTTCCGCTATTACAATTGTCCTACCCCGAATTTACTCCTGCAAAGATCCTAAGGGCTTTTTCTCAGCCCAACATGGTATGAGAGCTATCAGGGGAAATTCGACTACTATCAAGTCATCAACAGACAACATGGCAACATACAAGGAAAGGAGTTCCTCTAATGGTTCTCCCGGGACTACTCCCACCCCACCTCCTGCCTCTGGACTACAGACAGAGGAAGGAACCGCAACGGGACCAGCAGCGCCTTCAGCCAGCCAGCCTGCCAACTTCGACCAGAGTATGATGGAGAAGTTTTTCTCCTTCATGTCGTTTTACGAGCAACACCAGCAGTCGGCACCTGCGCAGTCAAATAACAGCAACAACAACAACAACGTGACTCCAATGAGTCTCGACGGCTCATCATATGCGCGCGGAAACCAGCAACAACCTACCTTTGCTCCGTATGAACGCGGGTCCATTAGCTTCATGCCGCACCCGCAAGCTCCACCTGGACAAGAAAAACCACTGGATGCACTACAAGTTCAGTCGCAATTCGCGCACGTCTTGAAGCTGCAGACGTCAAGGCCCTTCGACGGAAAAGACTTCTTTACCTGGTCGTTCGAGTTCGAACTCATGATGGAAGGCGCACAGATACTTGGCTTCTTTGATGGGTCTGTGCCATACCCAACAAACGGCACACAGTATGAGAAGCAGCAGTACACATATCAGTCGATGATGGCATATACGATCCTACTGAGAAACATCACCCCAACTCAGCAGCAGAACATACGGTCTTACCGGGGATTCGGCAACTCCGCGGAACTCGCGTACAAGCACCTGAAGGACCTGTATCAAGCAACAGACAGCGTCAACCAAAGTCGGTTAATGGCGCAATTGACAACGGTCGAAATGAAACCAGGCGAGAAAGGAATGGCATATATCAGCCGATGTCGCGAACTGCGCGACAAGCTTCTTCGATGCGGAGGGTCAATCTCTGAAGACGCCTTCGTGACAGTCATCATTGGCGGCCTCGGTCCTCAATGGCGCGCAACAAAGGCCATCCTCCGAGCCCACGGAAGAATCTCCGAAGCAGCACTCTGCGCCGAAATTCACGCCGAGCAGCAAGACATGGACCTGCAAGAAGAACGACACAAGAGAAAGACATCAGTACCGGAATTCGCGTTTCACACTCAGCGACGGTACAACAACAACAGCAACCGACAACAACCAAAAATCGTACCTCCGTTCTGCCACATCTGCAAGACGTCAGGGCACCCACGTACGCACTGCCCGAATCGACAACAGTCGACGCTTCCACAGCGACAGCTTCGACCTCAAGCAACCAAGTCGCCTCAACGCATGCGAATCCCGACGACTCAAATTCAAGCTTCAACGACACCAACGGGACAACCTGCACAAGGAGCAAGGAACATCGTCAGTTGCATGGCAAGATTGACCGACTCCTGCGTCACTGAATCACCACCACATTACTCACCGGAAGAACAGCTCGACAACAGCACGCCCCGCCGCGAGTCACTGCAGCCGAACCCGACATACGCCGCCATCGCCCAGAGTGAGCCATCCGGGAAGGACACATGGTTCTTGGACAGTTGCTGCGGACAGCACATGTGTTCTTCAGGATGCTTCGTACAACGGGAATACCAACTCCAACGTGAAGTAGTCATCACCGTCGCCAACAACCAGAACCTGCACACACGACGGCAAGGCGTAGTTCAACTTCAGTCACGAGAGACAAACATCATACTACAAATGTCGAAAGTCTTAATAGCAGAGGGACTCGGCTACAACTTACTCAGCGTCAGCCAGCTGATGGCGAAAGGCATCCACCTTGAAGCAGACAGCACCGCTCAAGAGTTCAAGCTGTACCACGGGAAGGGCGATCTCTACATCGGAAAAGCAGTCTTGAAAAACAACGTCTTCGTTCTCGATTTCGTTCCAGATCTTGGCACCGCCGACAGTGACGGCATCGTCAGCTTTGCCCCTTGGACGCATCCACCGGACCTTGATCCAGACTTCAGCCCCGGTGGTTTCTGGCACTCTCACACGATACCTGAGGCAGAACGAACAAGAGCATTAGCAACGATTCAACAATCGGCAGCAGCAGAGACAACATCGGCAGCAGCAGAGACAACAACATCGGCAGTGGCAGAGACAACAACGGTAGCAGCAGAAACACCAACGACAGCAGCAGCAGCAACATCGACACCAAGCGTCGGTCCTTCAACGGCACCAATCTTCATCGATAACACGCCACCGACACCCGCACAGCAGTTAACCCCGGCACCACGAGAAGTCCACCGAAGCGCCAATATCACCGCCGGCTTTTACTCAAACTCAGACATGTACAGACGCTCACCCGGGCACCGCGCCAGCGAAGACATCTGGCACGCACGGATGGGACACCCAAGCAACACAACGTTAAACAACACGATAAGAGCAGGAGTGCTCGACAAAGACTCCCTACTACTGCACGACGGGAGAGAACTTCAACGAGTCAGAGGAACATGCTTCACCTGCCCCGAAGCCGACTTACCGCATCAGCCGTTCGTACCTCACCACAACCCAAGCGCACCTGCATACACACCACTCGAAAAGGTGTACAGCGATATCCTGTACAATCGCGCACCAGGACAAGGAGCCTACAATTACACCATCACCTTCATCGACGCCGCCACTCGATACGTCTGGCATCTCAACCTTCCAAGTCGCGACATGGCTTTCGAAGCCTTTGTCGCCTGGCTACCAGTTGCGGAACGAGAATCGGGAGCTAAGCTGAAAAGCTTTCAGTCAGACGGGGGAGGAGAATACACCTCACAAAGGTTCAAGCAGTACTTGGCGGAAAGAGGAATCAAGAAACTCATCTCCCTCCCCTACGCTCATCAACAGCAGGGTGTAGCAGAAAGGATGAACCCGACTCTGCAGAACACCATGCGCAAGCTGCTACGTGGCATGCGGCTACCCACCCACCAGTGGCCTGAGGCGATGGACCACGCTGTCATGCTGCACAACTTGCTGTCTTCGTCGTCACTCCCGAACAACGCATCACCGCACCTGTTGTGGACAGGAAAACTGGGCAGCACAAAAATGTTACGAGTTTTTGGGTGCATGGTACAGTACCGACCCCCAGCTGCACGAGCCGGCCGATTCTCCCAACGAGCACAATGGGGACTACACCTGGGCATCGAAAAGAACTACAACGCGTGGAAAATTTTCGACGTCCACTCAAAAGAAACAGTACCAGCACGCGACGTCATCTTCTACGAGCGACTCACCCTCGACTCCTACCTTGCCAACTTGGCAGAACAGCGAGACCTCACCAGTGGATTCCGTGGAGACAGAGCCTTCGCTTCGGCAGCCGACGAAGCTGACCTGGACGAGCAGAACGTGGAAGGAGCCTCGGAAGAAGCCGGACCTCTCCCGTACTGCTCTGTCGATATCCCCATGGATGACGAAAATCCTCGCGAAAGCATCAACGCCGACGTTTTCTACGATTTCGCCGACACTGGTTACGTTACACCTGCACGGGTCAACACCGACGAAGCAGAACGCATAGGACCGAATTTCTTACCGGATCCAGAAGACAGAGACGAAGCAGTCTATCCCGAGGATACCACACTCCCCCGCTACACACAGAGTGGACTCCAGATACTTGGGCTCGTCACCGCAGTCCACGGCACCGCCATTCCTAAGGAGCCTGCGACGGTTCAACAGGCTCTTGGGGGGGAGCACAGGGAAAAATGGCGCGAAGCCATGGACAGGGAGCTGAAAGCATTAGAAGAGCGCAACACGTGGAAAGTCGTTCCCATCAGCGTAGCACAGAACAAAACCATCCTCACCGGAAAATGGGTCTTCCGCGTGAAAACGAAAGCAGATAGCACCATCGAGAAGTTCAAAGCACGATGGGTCGTGCGCGGCTTCGACCAAGAGCACGGACGCGACTTCACCGAAACATTCGCACCTGTCAGTCGACACACCTCACTGCGAATTCTCCTCGCAATCGCCGCCATGAAGAAGAAGAAGCTAAGACAAATCGACGTTGCGAATGCATTTCTCTACGCACCTGTCGACGCAGAGATTTTTGTGGAGCTACCACACGGCTCCAGCACGGACTCCACACACGTCTGCCAGCTGCTCAAATCGCTCTACGGCATCAAACAGGCTCCGCGACTGTGGCAACAGTATCTACACGCTCGCCTCGTCCGCATCGGCTTCAAACAACTGCCGCACGATCAGGGCATGTACCGACTTACAAAGAACACCGACTACATTCTACTAATCGTCTATGTAGACGACCTCCTCTACATCGGCTCGTCCGACGGCATCACCACCTGGTTCGAAGGGGAGCTGCAGCAAGATCT